TACATGACTCCAACTAGACTCTGCATTACTGATCACAACCCTTCGAGCTCTGCCTTCCAGCCAATTCTCAGTTCACCTCACTGCCTGCTCATCTATCCCACACTTCCTGAGATTGCCTTAAAAGGGCATCATCTTTGGCTGAAATTCTACTCGCTGTGCAACACCTCCAGCATACACTAGCCTCTAGCTTGATTTGAGACTTCAGGCTGCACACTCAATTCCCTCTGTTTGAATTGTAATGACTTGAGGACTGTACCAGATTTGAAAAAAAGAAAAAAAAAAAACCTGCTGCCACAGAGGACTCAAAGAGTTAACTCACAGAAGCAGGAGTCAAAGAAGTTACAGCACACAGGAGATCTAAAAACAGACAAAAGTTGGCTTCATCTGGAACAGAACCGAGACTTTGGAAGTCACTTTGATCATAACAGGATAGCTTAGTGGAGTGGTTAAAAAAACATAATATGCACTGATAAACATATCAAAACATTAAGAATGAGAAAACTAATTACCTGCTTGGACTTAACAATGAATTGATTAGATACAAAAATAAAAACAAAACTTCAATTTTAAACAGCTGTCTTGGATAAAAATTAGATTAGTTTTATACAGCAAAATTACAAATGAATGCCCCATCCTTGGTAAAAGACACAATGCATACAGTTACCCAGAGAAGAAAGCACAGGGAACAAGGAACAACAGAGCATTGACTCCAGATGTTTGAGGGACTGAAGCCTGGCTGTCTTCATTAATTTTATACCTGAAAATACAGAAAAAAAGTAAAAATTTATAAAAGCAAAATATCTCACAATGAAGTTATAGCTAAGTTAATATTAGAAAAAACATCTTGTTCCTGGATTTCAATACAGTCATAAAACTCCTGGGCATAATACCCTGCTTGCAAAGTATTGACCTCCCTTTCTTCCATCCACATGAACTGGCCTCCAGGTATATGGGGAGGCAAAAGCAAGTGAAGAGGGGATAGCACCAGAACTGCAGCTGAGCTTTTATTTACTGTTGTGCAGATATATTCAGCTCACTTTTTTACAGGCATGTCAACACATGAAGGATGTTGAGAAACTTGGGTAGTGCATCTAAATCTTGACTTCAGATGGTCTTGAAAAGGCCTGTGTTCCATATCCAGCCTCTCCACTCAGTCTAACCTAACATGTTGTCATTGTTCACTTTCCTGATTTGGCAACTTACTCCAGAGGGGAATTTCTGGAATTATCCTGCACCATTTTGTCCCTTTCTGTGAACTGTTGTATTTTCTGAAGCATCTTATGTACAACTAGGAGAAGATAGAAAGATCATTACCAGATTTTCAAAATCATTTCCAGATTTTTCCATGTTGGACATGAGACTTGTAGCTTTCTTGTTGCTGACAGTTTTGAACTTAAAACTAATATCAAAATGAATACTAATACTAACTAATACTAAAAACTAATACCAATGCTGACACTGGAATGCACATCTTCCATCTGCCAAAGAACTGCCATGTATTATGACGAACCAATGGTATGGATCTTTCTTACACTACCCTGTATCCCACAGCCTTGTAGGCTCAAAACCATCCAGATGTAAGTAGGAACTGAGCCTACCTATGTCTCAGAAGAACTAAGAACTACCTTAGTCTTCTTGAGTTGAGAGGACTCTCAACATTTCCTCTTTCTTCCAAGTGACTGACAGCTAAACATTTCAAGTTGAAGTAAACATTTCTCCTAGATGATTTTTGTACTCTTTTAAAGTGAAGGAAATGAAATAAATTTTCAACTTGTGCCAGTCTAAAACACCTCTCCTCAGTTTGATTGCCCAAAAGTCAATCTAACCAATGAGTTTTATATTAATTACTAATGGTCTTGTTAAAAGTTTTTGCTAGAACCTGGAAAAATTGGTCAGAGGTATTTCTAATTGGTGATCTGATCTAGGCAGTAAGCCAAATGGAAACATAGCCAGCTGTGGCTCAACAAAATGCCTCTATTCCTTAGTGGGTAGAATATGAGAAGGTAAGGTAAAACATTACTCAAAGCTCTTGTTGTATCTCTCCCCAGTTCCTTCACATTGCCTGAATTTCCCTAAGTTATCTTTGAGAAAGAATACCTATTTCAAAGGGAAATTATCTTCATCAGACTTGAAGAATAAGAAGACATTTAAAATGTGCAAGGCACAACAGAGGCTCAACCACAAATATAGGTCAAGGAGAAAAACAGAGAATTGGAGAAAGGCACAGTAATATTAGAATAGTACAAAGGTTAAAAAAACAGAACAGAGGATAACACAAAAATAGTAATCCCGAAAAAACTAGCTGTTGCAAAAACAGTACTTTCCTCTGCAAAAGAATTTAATCTCTTTCATTTAAGACAGAGCAGACTGTGCAGTTTTTCACTGGTCATATCTTTTTATTTTCTTGTTGCTTATTGAATCATCCCTTTTTCTCCTTTGACATCTTACTCTTCCAGGCTGTCAGTGATGGCTGTCCTTCCCCTTCACCTCTTGGAATGAAATGTCTTTCCATTACTCCATCTTTCTCACTTTCAAGTACAAAATGACTGCTTAATCCCACAGCCCTATCTCAATAGACTATGACACTCTTTTTTCTGTTTGTCTGCTTTAAAAAAAAAAATGTTAATGCCTTTATCACCCAAAAATCGAGGTTAAGGGATCTTCTAATGGAAAGACAGCTGAATTTCCCATCAGAAATTACATCTAAATATAATTAAATCCCGATCTGAAGGCCAGAAGCAATGACTGTTAATAGTTTAGCAGGCACTTCAATCCCTATTTTCAGTGGATGGCTGGGATATTCAGCTACACATCTATAAAAGGCATCTCCTTACTACTGAGGGAAGGATCTGACTAAACTTCTCTAGCCAAACACAAACAGTGGATCTAGCAAACAGCCTATCCAATGCAGTGTCAAGGCATATTGAAACATCCAAAATGACGTGGTTCCACAGCTCTGTAGCAGCCACTAATCAATGACAGAGAGACTAAGGGACAGTTTCCTCAGTGATGGTGTTGAATTATATCAAAACCCTATTCTTGATTACATCACCCCTTCCACAAATGGCCAGCATACTGACTAGAAGAATCATCTTGAAGGAGGGAGGTGGTGCAGCAGACAATTTGCTATTTTTAATCCTACTTCTCAGTCACCCTTGACAGATGGGTCACACATCAGGAATGATACTTTTAGTAGAGAATGCTGAAAACTCTGTCTTAGAATATACAATATGTTGTTTGAAAGGTTAAGAGTGAAATACTGGAGATCAAAATGCCTCCATGAAAATACTACTTACAGACATCTGACAGAGGCAGCTTCAAAGTCCCACAAAATTATTGCACCATTTGCATTTCCTGTAGCTATCAAACTGCATCCTTCTACTTTTAACACATCAAAGCACTTCATTTCCCTGGAATGTACAAAATTCTACAAAAGCATTAAAAGGAGTTTTAGTATCAGTAATGCAGACACTAGAGAATTAAATGTTTTAGCTGTTTATTTAATGGATACATTGACAGTATCTATGAGAGCCATAATTTCAAAACATTTTATTCTAAAGCTACTGTATTTCAAAACATTTTATTCAAATACTACTGTATTTGAGACATCCAGCAGCATCAGGAGGAAGCAGTGAATGCTCAGTGAGTTGAAGACTCACTGCTGCTGAGGATGGAAGCCAACTCAACACATTGTCAAGGGAGGTTTGCTGCTTGCTGAGGGCTCAGATGATCTCCAGGACACTGCAAAGAGGCTGATAAGGTTCATCTGGCCCTCAGACCTGCGTCTCTGCTTCTCTTCCATGTGGGTGCCAATGACAGTGCTAGAGGAGTCCCCACATGAATCAAATGTGACTGCATGACTCTGAGGGTAATGGTCAAGGGCATGGGGGGCCAGATGGCATTCTCCTCAATCCTGCCAGTAAGGAGGAAGAGTTTGAGGAGGAGTAGACAGGTTCTTTACGTCAAAAACTGTTTGGACACCTGGCGTCAGCAAATTTTTTTTGTTCTTTTGACTGTGGGAGCCTTTTTGAGGATTGAAGACTCCTAGAAAGATATAGAATCCACATGATGAAGTAGGCAAATCATCTTTGCCAACAGGCTGGCCAACTTGTCAAGGACACGAGAAACACGTACCCTGAGTGGAGAAGGATTACCCTAGGAGATATGTTAACATATAAAAGTCCATGGGCTCTAATGCACATATGAGTGCTGAGAAAGCTGGTTGATATCATTATGAGGCCACTCTCAATTTGAAAGGTGATGGTGTTTGTGAAAGATTTCTGAGGACTAGAAGAAAGCAGATGTCATTTCTGTCTTCAAGAAGGACTGGGGAGCTATAGGCCTGTTGGCTTTACCTTGGACCCTGAGATGGAGATGGAGCAAGTACCTGGAAACTATTTTGAGGCAAATGAAGGACAGGAAGGTTAATAGGAATAGTCAGCAAGGATTTATGAAATAGAAATGGAAATGCCTGACCAATCTAATAGTCCTTTATGACTACTCTCTGATGACTAGTTCATTGCATAAGGGAGATCAATGGACTAGATTTTAATTAAGTATTAAGAACTGTTGTTAAAACATGCATTTCTCAGTTGCACAGTAAGCCTTTTACTTTCTGATCTTTTCTAAAAAAAATGTTGAATTTTGAAGTGTTTCTCACCTCTTTTTCACTGCTTAGAGAATTGGTGTCAGGCAGCGGCTGAATGTCTGGAAAAAAATCATGTGTTTGTAAGTCATCAGGCTTCAGTGACAGAGACAAAACTGGATTTTTCAGTGGAAATGCCACAGCCTCAGGAAGCTCCCATGTTACATTTAGATGTGTTTGACCTTCATTACCCTATTAAAGTAAAAGTAAAAAATCTGTATGTACTACGCCAAACTACAAAAAAAATTACATACTTCACCCAGCATATGCCTAGAGTGCAAATGGAAGTACCAGTTAGAGATATTTCAGGTCCTTTTGAATTACCTGCTGGTATATTAGAAGTTGACTAGCTGGGGAGTTCGGAGTTTTTCATTGTCTGCAGTTTAGCTACCCACTTAACCTGAGTTTTCACTTCAGTTACAGCTGCTTGGTTTATTAATTTTTGTAATCTCCAATTCACAGTTAGCATACCAGCAAAGCTGGTGATTTTCCCACTTGTGTAAAAAGATCAAGGTCTTTGGTTCACCATGGTTCTCAGTTATTGATCTTTCCCCATTGTGCCTAGAGTTAGCAGGAGTCTGTCCAGCAAACAGAGATTTATTTAACACCTGTGACAATGTATTCAGAAATTGAATCAAGAAAAGCTCAATCACAAAAAATGTGCATGTCCTGTTATAAGAAAGAAATGCATGGAAAGAAATAATCATCAGAATGTTGAAAAAGAGCAACAGATTCAGAAGCATATTAATACTTAGCCAGAAATGCAGAAAACTGATGATATGCAGAAAATGGATTGTCAGTTTTTCTACCGACTAAGGAAAATAAAGTCTGTTTACCTTTGAAATTGGGAGCTACCAAATGAAATTAGAAAAAACCCACATATGTATATATGTACATATGAAAAAAAACCTGAATGATTTTCATCTTCCCACTCTGCTCCAAAACAAGAAGCACATGTTTGCTCTGACCAGCTTTCAGATAAACTACTTGAAGCAGACGATGTCTCTCCTCTTTGCTGTGCTCAGCCAAAGGCAAGGCTTTCATTTCCTGCCCGCTTCCAAAATCCCAAACTTTCACTGTTCCTAGATAGGGATAAAGAAGATGTATGAAAGTGAATGAACTATCAAGAATAATACGTTTCAAACTCAGAAACTTCAAATGGATCAGACAAGGAGAGAGAGGAAAAAAATATGAACCAGTTGAATGTTCAGAGCTAGGTCATTCATGTTTTAAAAGTAATATTTTTGTGTATGTGTTTCTTAGGAAAGCACACTTAGGGAGGCAAACTTTACCAGAAAACACCTTTGCTGCTAGCCCTACTACTTTTTCATCTTTTTTCCAAATTTGTTTTATGTTGCAGCCCAGGATGGAAGTCCACTATCTCATTTTTGTTTCTGGACTAAAGCCATCAGAGAATAAGTGGTCGGCAGGAACAGTGTGACCCAGATCACTAGACCTATCTCACATTGCTACTGAGGAGAAAGACCAGAACATTATTTAAGTGAAGCAGTTAAAGCACTCAGTTTCTGTCATGGTCTTAAGACTCATGAGGGACGCATTCTCTGCTCTTAAGCATAAATAAAACATATTAGTCACCATGCGGTGTGGAAAAGGCTCCCTCTGTGTGAGGGAACTTTCATATACTTCATATATTTTAATACTTCAGGTGAGCATTCCTGAACATTTAAATGTGAGAAGAAATCAAGAATTATTCATCCATGTTAACAGATAACAAAATTATTTAAGTTTGCAGCAAAGTGCAGTGTAGTACTTGTGAATAAACTGGAAAGGTTTTGTCACATTACCTAAAATTAATGTGTCCTAAATAACACAGGGGAAACATGTATATATATATATATACACTCTACTGTTCATTGTTTGCAAGACACTATAAAATTCCCCTCAGACACTATAAAATCCAGAAAATGACTTTTCTCCAGTATCTTAATACAAAATTACTGAAATATCTTTCTGTCTTTCCACCTTGGCTAGTTCCGTATAACTATTTTTTAAAAATTGAAAAAAAAAGAAGTCCTTTGTCTTATAAATGTCACTATATTCATTATGTACCCATTGTAACCAGATCTATTTTATATGAACACCATTTTAAACTAAAATGGAAACTGTGGCTCAGTATGGCAAAGAATGAAACAGTGCATAGTGACTAATGTCAGTGCGGTATTTTTGAAATGACAAACATTTAACTTTGAAGGGCAGACCCATTTTGGCATATTTTACATTCCTTTTAATGCAACTTTCTTGAGCTACAGGGTTATAAAATGCTAATGAAAACAATATGAAAAATAACTGAACTGTAGTCATATGAATTTATGAAAGCTGAGTTAAATCATCTCAGGCAGAAAAGTGAGTTTTAGTAAGACCACATAGGGATGCTGAGAGCCCAAAATATGCCATCATTACTAGAGTTAATATTGTAATGATGGCATATTTTACTCTACTAGAGATAATATTGTATACCCAGTGTAAGGGATTATCAAATGTTTTCTAATGTAAAGTTAGCAAAGAAAATTCATATATATGGATTATTTTCCTTAGGAAAAGAAGGAAATACTTTTTACATCTCAATTTACATTGAATTATCTAAGTGTTATTATTCTGGAAAGATTGCAGAGCTCTAAGTTTTTTAGAGCTTGCATAACAAAGGTGGATGCTCATAGCTATTATGCACAGTTTAATCCTAGACATTTTGGAATAATTATTAAAATTTCTCTGAATTTTTCTGCAGAGAGATTTCTCTGCAGAATCTGGAGTCATCCAGCTACACTGGTACCCATTTATAGCTCAAAGTTCTTATGAGGAAACACTTTTTCAGATCAAGAGCTATGTAGTACTAGAGTTCAAGCAGCCTAAAATCACCTTTCAATGAATCACCTATCAAAAGAATACACAAACAAGATCAAAAGAAATCACCTCTTTCTCCCCAGACGTAAAGCTTTGTGTTCCTTTCTCTGCCTACTTCCTCTCCATTTTGAAGGATAACCAAAAATCACTCCCATCACTTAGAGCGCTTCAACTAAAGTTTTCGGACTGCTCATATTGTACATAATTTTAAATGACATTAATGAAGAGGTGGTAATTATTAATTGCTTTACCATCACATGCTCCAGTAGCAAAATGAAAACCTTTTTCTTCAATGGCTGCACAGGTTACTTCAATATTCAGCCCATGTGCATCTTCAATCTGATATATTTGATACCCTGTTCTAGTTCCCACACCTAAAAAAAAAAA